ATTAAAATACAAAAATAAAAATAAGTTTTTACATAAAAACCAAGAAAAGCAGGGAGACAGAAGCCGCATTTCCCATTTTTTCCTGTTAAATAAAAATTTTTGATGTAAAAATCACATCAACGATCTACGTCAGGTCAGGTTGAATAAAATGATAGGACGAAATGATTGTACCAGTATCATTTTCAGCTGAAGTCTTGGTCTTCGTAAAACTGTGCCTCGTCAAACGCAGCTAGCGCTGCGAGTGGTCTTTAATTCTTTGAATGGAGTATGTTGAATTAAATAATTTGATAAAAATTTATGATACCAATAGGTGGGTCCACAATAATTGAAGATGGCAAAAGGTAAAGATCACCCCTCAACTCAACCACTGGTGGCAAATCACCCCCTCAACCCACTTCACGTGCAAATCACCCCCTTAACTCACCTACAGTGGCAAATCACCTCCTCTGTTAACACCGGCACCATCCTTCCGTTAGCTTTCATCCGAACCCATGATTTCTTCTCCCAGTCCATTCGGTAAATATAACAAGCACTAAGTAAACACTGTTTCTTCACCCCCATCAACAGATCACCCTTCACCTCCACCAAGTAATAGCATTGGCATCCCTCTTTGACTGGTTCTACACTCAGTTTCACTGCTTTCTAAAAGTTGTTGACGGTAGGTTGAATAACCCAGATGTAACCGTAAAAATCAATGGCGTAGAAGTCACCTTGTAGGATATTGCATCGGAACACCGTCCCACGAAGTTATTTATTCTGATCCATGCATGATCCCCTGTTCTACAAAAGGAAAAACTGTGTCCGTGTTTACCGGGATGGATGGCCAGGACTTTGTAGAGAGGATCCCTAGGATTGGTGGAGGTGATCACCCTCGTAAACTCCGGCTTCTTGGAACTCATCCGGCAGATTTTCGACCTCCTGAATCATTTCTCAAGAGGAAGCTTAACGGTGGCGCTGGTGATGGGATTTAAAAGATGAATGGCTTGATTGGCAACGGTTAGAAGCCAGCCATGAGAGGATGCAGTACACCATCCTCCCTGAAGTTGTGATAGAAAAATCCTGTGGATTTTGTGGCAGCAATAGTTGTAGATCCGACAGCATTGTCGGCCTGTTTGATTCTCCGGTGGAAACAATACTAATAGAGCGTTGGATTTGAGTCCGGGATGGCGTAAATAGAGTAATCGAGCGGCATATTGCCAGGAGACACAGACCACGCGGAGAGCCAGCTTGAAGATGACTTCTGAGTCGGTGGTACTCGACGACATCGACGGAGGAAGGGCTTATGAGCGAACTGTTAAAAGCTAACAGAAGGATGGTGCCAGTGTTAACAGAGGGGGTGATTTGCCACTGCAGGTGAGTTGAGGGGGTGATTTGCGCGTGAAGTGGGTTGAGGGGGTGATTTGCCACCAGTG